AAAAAAAAAAAAAAAAAAGAAAGAAATAAAGTGTTTCTGAACTGCAAACCTTTTGACACCAGTGATTTTCATCCATTTTATACATAGAAGTCCTGTAGGCCTCACCTCGGGAAAGCCTGTTGACCCCATCCCTCCATGTCTAGGAGAAGTTTTACTACCATGTGTATGTAGCTCTGTCTCCTTCTGCTCTGGATGGCCGGAGACGTGCCTAGGTCACAGCATCCCCTGTGACCAGTATCCCCAATTGTATGACTGGCCATGCATGATGGCCAGGACTTGGTAGATGGTACTCTTTCTGCAGCCTCACTGCTTAGAACTGGAACCAAAGCACATTAAGGAAGTGGTAACTTGATAACCCAGTGTTCGGGGCTTCGTTTAGAGGATTCCAGTGGGTTCCACAGCATCAACGTCTAAGAGGAGAAAGAACTCCTCCTGACTGGAAGGGGCTGAAGCTTTGGAGCCAGACCACAAGGCGTGACATCCAAATGGGAGGCTCAGCCAGGGAGTCTCCACTTGCCATTGAGCTCCACACCCCTCAAGCAGGAGAACCAAGAGGACCATCACTGTGTCAAACCCAGTGACAGTATCAAGGGCACACACTGCTATTCACTATTGTGCTTCCCCCAGGTTTGCTTTCTTTCTGAAACCAGCCCTGAGAACTTGAACTAATTTTCAGTAATGTCATCTATTGGTAAAATTATTAAGGCCACTCCACATCATTAAAAGGATATTTATTTAATGGCGTAACTTACAAATTAAGGGATAGGTAGGTCGCGGGGTCTGGGGAAGGTGTATCACAGTCCAGCGGTGTTCTCTAGAGCTCTGCTCAGTCTACCTCCACCGTTCAGGGTCCCGGAACAGAGAGAGCACTGACCCATCCAGATCTCGGGTCTCCAGGTGCCTCCCTTGGCCCGACCTTGTAGGAGTGACAGTTGCTGAAGTCTCAATGGGGGTTGGAACTTCCAGATCAAAGCTGGAATGGCTACTCACTATAGTCATCCTGTATATAATGACCTAAGCAGGAGTCCTGCACCTAGCCTCCATGTACTGGTCACTTGAGGTACTACTTCAGGCAGGCCGTTTGCCCTTCTGATTTCAACAGACTCAACAACTTTCAAGTGAAAACAAAAAGCTATTCTGTATCTGCTTTCCAGGAACTTAAACACAGCATCTCTCTTGCTTGCTCTGGTGTCCCTGGTGGCTCACATAGTGTCTGGCAATAGGATAAAGGTGTAGGAAAAGAATCATAGTGACTCAAAAGTTTAAACCATGTAGCCCAAAAGATGAACCAAGTCACAGTATGGGTGGTAGCCAACAGCTCTCGTCAGGTCAGCCAGGGGGACGGCTGGAGGAGACAAAGATGAGCAGCAGTATCTACAGATGCTTCTGAAGACAAAGAGGATGTACAGAGGACCACTCACCTCAGACCCTGTCGTATGCAGTAGGTGCTCAATATATTCTGGGTGACTCAACATATTCTGGAATACATGAGATAGTATGGATGAAAGTGGTTTTCAAATCATAAGGAAACTTCCAGAGACTGAGCAACGTCATTACCTGCGGTGCGCCCCTCGGCCAGCGAGGAAGAACGACCACCATGCAAGGATTCTTCTCAGAACACACTTTATTGGAGCGCCTCTTGGTTAAGGGAGAGCGGGAGGTGAGGGGCCCCGAGGACTAAACTGCAGCTGCTTATATAGGGAATCAGGCAAACGTGCCGTACTGTGATTGGGTCCCGCCAGAATGCTAGCACAGGGAGCCACGGGATAGGCTGAGGACATAAGGCCAATTACCATACTCGTGCATCATAGCCAAATATGGAGTTGTTTACAGCTAGGCTACCAGGAAGCCAGCGCCATCTTAGAATGGCGGCTCCCTACAATTACCACCTTCTCTGCTCCCTGGATCCACAACTAAATGACCCTCTCCAGCATCTTGTGGCACTGCAGAAGCAAGACACACAAAGCCTGGCCATAGAAACTTCCAGGTAACCAGGTTTGACGAGAGTACAGCCTTGAGATGGCAGGAGAGTGCTCTGCATCTCCATTTGAATGAAGCCAGTAGCTAACTGCATAAACCTGCCTTGACTGTGTGTAAAGAAGCAGTAGCTACCTCAGTTCCCTTATCTTGGGAGTTAGTTATCATCTGGTGCTGTCTTGACTAACATGCAATAGCTGAGATCATTCACACTGCAGATTCAAGAGGTCCCTAGGGGGCTGTGTGTGGGACCAGGGTCCAGGAGCATGGTACTGGAGCCCTGGGCACTATCCATAAGTGGAGAGTAGAACTCAAAAAGCCCCTCTGGAACTGAGAGCTTGTAAACCTGTAGCTCTGACCATGGTCCTAGCTGTCCAAATGACCCAAGTGAAGCCAGAAGGAAGATGTGCATGAGAGAATGACTACAGAGGGGTGTCAGCTTGACTGGAACAGGGGATGTAAACAAAAAGCCTTTAGCTGGAGACCCATGAACCACTTCTTGAGTGAAGTTGACAGATTATCCCAGTCCCGAGGTTTGATCAGAAGGATTCCATGATGGACTGCTAAAATGATTCCAAATCAGACTTTCTGGACAACAGACAAAGGACCGGGAAATGAAAGATGAGTAAAGTACATCCCCAGTAGTCAGAAAGGATAAAGGGAATCCTTCTGTGTGCTTGCTTGGTGAATTGACTACAAATGCTTGTTTCAGTTCCAAAGTCTTAAAAACAAGGTTTTCAGGAGAGGGCTTCTGCTCTTCATGAAGTAAATATTCAGATTCCCAGGACCAAGCCAGGTCAAGGTCATTGCAGTTCCATTTCCTTCAGTCCTAATAGCCTGGCACGTCAAGGACGTTCAATGGACGCTAATAACCAAGCTTTATACAACATCTGGCAGAAGCACTCATAAAATCCAGAGAGATTACACGGCCTGGGAAATGGTGCAATTAGTTAGATTTATAACCAGCTGACAGATTGTACCCAAAGGATGCTGATAAACAGGATATAGAATCTGCTCAACAGAGACCTTCAGGAATGAGACAGATAACGTCAATAAGTAGGAGTGGGTTGTGTGCCTGACTACGGGACAATTGGGAGAGAGGCCAAATGGACAGCCCATGTATTGACTACCAGATGGGCTCATTGCATGAGTCCCAGGTAGAATGTGCAGTCTACAACATACATAACTGTATACAGCTGTTCCAGCTGCTGGATTGTGGCTCTGGTGTTGACATAGCTTCAATTGTTCAGGAGAAGCTAAAAAAAATTTCAGTGTTGGCCACTAATCCAAAGGTTAAAAAAAACACCATAAAGTATTATTCAGTACAAACACGGCACATCTGAAGGCCTCATTTGGCAGCTGGGCCATCAATATGTGAACTCTGACCCCAGAAAGAGTTTCAGTAGCACAGAGCTGTGTCATGTGTCCACTTCTATTCAACATGTTTATCAATGACTTGGATCAAACCCTAGAAAATACAAGGATCAAGTTGATTATTGATCCAAAGCCAGAGGGACAGCCAGATGGCCAACTTGGGATTCTCAATCGCTTCAAGAGATAGAGACTATGTCTGAATTGTGCAAGAAGAGCTCTTGGGTAAACAAATGTTAGATCATGTCCTCAGGCAGGGTGTGGGGGGCTAGGGACTCATCCATACAAGAACACATGATTTAACAAGAGCACGTGGTAGCGTTTTCATTGCCCACAGATCATCAGCGAGCGGCCTCAGTGTGATGTGGTTGCCAAGATGGGAGGGAATTTTCAGCTTCACCAGATTCTGTTCCGATTGGGCCAGCAGCAACTGGAGCTTTGCCCTTGGTTCTGGGAAACATCTGAGATGGATGACAGAGAGATCGGGGCACATTTGAAGGCTTGCAGCAAGGAAGGCAAAGAGATTGAAAACTATCCAAATGGAGAGTGAACAGCCAGAGACATTGGGGCTTCTTCCCTTGGACAGCAGAAGTCTTGGCATCTAATTCCTGAGCTCTGACATTTGGGGAGCTTCGCGTGGATGTCTCAACTAACACCAAAGAAATAAACCACCAAAAGCCAGAGTTCAGTCAACCCCTCCAATTGTCCACAAGCATGCCTCAGATTTGGAGAAGGACTGTCCCCACTTCACCTCCGAAGACAGAAAGTTGGGAGCAGCAGGTGGATCATTTCAGCCAAGGCCAGGGTCGTGAGATCTGATTGTTGAATGGGCGGCCATCAGAGACACAGCGGACACGGCCGATGGGATGTGGAAAAGGCTCAGGTGAGATTTAGCCATGGTTTTTCTAAAAGCAGCCATTAAAACTAAATAGCCACGTACAAACCTCTAGCAGGTGGGGCTGGTAAGGAAACAGTGCATCAAAGAAAGTCATGGAGGAGGGGACAAGGCCAGTGGGAACTCCGGAGAAGTCAAAGTTACAACCGTAGTTTCAAAAGGGTAGGGTTTCTCCTTCAAGGAGCTCAGGAGACATCTCACTTCCCTCTACCTCATGATGCTCAGTGGGCCACAGTTCCACAGGGATGATTTTCTCACCAAGTGATAAGAACTCTCTCCATTCTAAAATTTAAGAAACCCGTTCTTTCCCCAGAATAGACTAGATTCTGTACACAAAGCATTGGAAGACAAAGTTGTTTTCCAATGGCTGAAGGAAAAGTCCATTTCTGTTTCTCGGAGGGAAGAGGGGATCCTGGAGTGCTAAGTGATTGCCTGCACTCCTGGAAGTCTGAGGCTGCTCTAGGAAGCATTACAGACACCGACGAGAGCAAGAGACGAATGGCTTTTGAGTGAGTCACAAGCCCAGCTACAGACCGACTTCTGATTCTTCACTGCTTCAGAGCCCTTCACACCAACTCTCCGGCTGTAAAACAAGTGGTCTTGCCAATAAGAACTGACACTAAACTTGGCATGATAGTCCATACCTGTGATCCCTGTAGCATTCAGGAGGCTGAAGGATTGTCTTGAGTCTAAGGATGGCTTAGGTTTATACAAAGAGTTGAAGGTCAGTCTGGGCTATAGAGTGAGACCTTTTCTCAAATACACACACACACACACACACACACACACACACACACACACACACACACACA